AACCGCGTGGGCACGGACCACGCGCCTCCTAATCTCGTTTCCTCCGACGTACCGATACCCCCGGCGCCTGGAGCGTTACCCCCCATCTCTAAGCTCATACCTCAATGGAGTACGTCTATGGACCGCCAGCGCCACGAAGCCGCAAATTGCTCCACGCAAAAGGTTGCAGGGACAAATTTCAATGCATAGGTCAATAAAGTACTCCACCAACTTTTCTCGTGATAATAGCTACTGTGTGTGGCTCTACAGCCTCATTTTTATGTGAGCGTGTTGGGGTGATTCGGCGCGTTGCGTAATGGTGCGCACGGGCTGCAGAAACACCGTACCCGGCACTGGGACCGAAAACGGGCCCGCCTCATGCATGCACGGCTTCAACACAGCGTGGGGCATTGTCAACGAATGTTACCGTTCTTGAGGAAATAACATAGCATTGCGACAAGACCGTGAATGCAATGTCGACGCGACTATTATATCAAAGTTCGGAGACAACGTCAACATGGCTCTGTTTGATAAGCAGGACCTGAGATGCGAGTCATCTTCACCGACGAGGTCACTGTGCCACATCCGCCCAGCCACTGTGCCACATCCGCCCAGCCACTGTGCCATCTCCGCCGCTCGTCTTCACACAATAATCTACCTTTCTCTGCACTTTCAGCAGCCGTCGCGGATCCAATAGCAACAAGCAAAATTTCAAATACACTGCATCTCAGAAAGCATCTCTGCCGCGATCTTCTCGGCCAATGCATCTACCGCGGTCAGTACTGGTACTGTGCAAGAGTTTATAAGTGACCACTTACAGACGGTAGCCTGTGGTTGTCCGGGAGGTAAGAATGGAAACGCCGAAGCATCGACAACTCTCAAACCATCCACACCAATCACTCTTGCTTTCGAATCAACCACCGCCAACCTGTCGTCCACCTTGCCCATCCTGTTCGTACCCGCAGCATTGTATACCGAGTTTGCGCTTGCCCTAATCACTTCTTGAATCTGATCACCACTCTGTACATCTTGGCCCGGGAAAGCTTCGTCTCCAGCCACCACCTGCAGAGCGTCTGTGGAGAAGAGCGCGCGTCCGCGCTTGAAGGCTACGATGGCCAATTCCATGTCGCGTGGATCACTCAGCCAGTTGGGACTGATGACAGGGTTGATGGCTGTATCTGCTGAGCGAATGGACACATTACCACGAGAAAAGGTAGACACCAAGCCCACGGAAGCGGCAACGTACTGCTTTTCATCTGTAAGGCCGATGCTGCTGTCGTTCCCAGTACCGAAGTAGGCATCTAGAACGAGGTACTGTAGGTTCGGCCAGTCCATGGGAAAGCTGGTCTGGATGGAGCTGTACGTATTGTTGCTAACGCATCCTGGCGTGACGCGCTCGAAGCCGGCAACATCGCCGCCGACATTGGTCAACATGCCAGTGCGGTTGTTGTTGTACTCCGTGACGGCAGATGAAAGATACCCAGGATTCGCAAGACTGTTATGTGTAGTGACATTGACCCGGTACGTTGGGCCAACTAGAACGTTGTCCATCATATTCTGACCGACACCTGCGAGATCTGCTACAACTTCAATGTTGTGGTGCTGCAGGATCGATTTTGGTCCAATGCCAGAGACCATTAGCATTTGCGGCGAGCGCATCTACGTACGGTGTCAGTAGATGAGTCAGGACTGATTCATATTTACATACCACTCCAGCAGACACAATGACTTCTTTGCTTGCTTTAAGCAAATAATGCGTTCCTGCAGTTTCCACGGCTACTCCTGTAGCTCTTTTCCCGTCAAAATTGATCTTTTTGGCCAAGCTCGACTTGTACAAGGAGACCTTGTTTCCTTGGGCAATTGCAGAGTACAGCATCTCAGCGGATGAACTTCTCATTTGCGTTTCCTGATCCAGTGTTTGAGGGATAAAAGACCACCCGAGCAATTTTCCGCTCGCAAAGCTGTTCAGTGTTTCAAGGCCTAGTTCCGCGAATCCCTTTGCCAACCAAGACGTTATGCGGTTCGTCCAGGCTCCATGACCAATTTGTATTGGCCCGCCATGAGAGCTCCAATCTGAGTTGTTCAGCCTCCGTGGTACATCTGAAGGCTGAGAGCTGCCATCTGCAATGGGTGCGCGAACACTTCGTTGGAAATACTGCAAGAACTTGTCGAAGCTATACGTCTGGTCGCCAACATCGTTTGCCCATTTGTCGAATGCTCCTCTGGACCCTCTGTACCTGATAAGCAAGGTCCGACCAAAGTACCATCACGCACGAGCGCACCTTATGTACCAAAGAAAGTTCCTCGCACTCGATCCACCAATCACTTTTCCAGAATTGAACAACAATCTCCGATTATTCAGAGCCTTGCCTAGTATCAGCAAACTGGAAGCCATTCAAGTTGTTCCCCTCAACTCACCGCTTGAGGCTCCGTGTACATGTACCAATCCAGTGCAGGATTCTTGACCACGGGATTACTCCCTGTGAACGTACTCGCATATGCGGGCACTTGTGAGTTATTCCCATTTGCAAATTCACAAAAGTCTCCAGCTTCGATGACCGCGACTGAAAATTGCGCAGAGAGTCGATTTGCGAGTGTGAGCCCAGCTGTTCCACCACCGATCACGACATAGTCAAATGTCGCATCTTGTCCGGGTACTCCAAAATAAGATCCGAGAAGACCTAGTGAGGGGAACAATTTTGTCTGTGCGTGAATAATAGAAACGAGGAGTGCAAAAGCCAGAACAAAATTCAATCGGGGAAGCATCATCTCGGGGCTTCGCGGGCATCAATCACAACGCGGAAAGTAGAAGCAACTTCCATCAGGTATAGTCCATCCCATTTCTGATAAACGTTTCTGGGTGTAGTTGCGGCCCAGAAGTATTCTTTTGGGTTAGACGGTTAGGTTACAGGGCGCAGGTTCCGAAAGCACATTTTCGATATGTACATCCTTGTGTTTCCTTAGCCGCATGCTCAAGCGCTTTAAAATAGTATATCGCATTCCGCTGACCTTGCTGCAGCGAGCCCTGCGCGAATACAGGCTCGTAAGGGGCAGTAGTACAGGCACAGCCAATGATCGCAATCGCGTACGCGCTTCCAGTATTTGAGTTCATTGAGAGGAATAGTGCTATCTTGCATCGCAGCTTAAATGACCTGCATACTCCATTCAATCTTTCGCGCAGTCTTCAACCGCTCGGTACATTAAACTTCCTTGCTTAGTACGGTTACACGGCGCCGCTGATCTCGACGTTGGGTACAGCCACGGCATTATTCGAGTGCAGGACCACATTGTTAAAATAAGTTCAGAAGTCCAATTCACTAGCCCCGTGTAACAAGAAGACTGGGATTGTCAACCATCGGCATAGACGGCATAATCCTGCCAAGGCGTTCTTGATCGACCGGTGGCGCCGGCCATTGCATCAGCACGGGTCATCACACAGCGCTGTCGTGATCAAGAAGATGAGTATATAAGACATGGGTCGATGCTAACATGGATGTATGTACTACTGTATGTATGTATATTTAAGACTCGTAGCACTCCCCAATTTCGCACTAGTTTGGTCTAATCTAACTCGCAAGCGTCACAAGAATTCCGTCCGTTGTCGTCGTCTGACAAATTTGGAACCGACCAGACACAAGGCTCCAATTCAGGTTCCCTGTACAAGCATATTTGCAGCTGTCAATGAAATCTCCCAGATCCCGTCGGAGGATCAAGTCTTCCCCGTGCCGCTGGAGAAGTCGCTCGGCTGCATCATCTACGCTCCGGATGGACTGTACAATGAGGCTCGCTGCAATGCTCATAGCTGTATCCATGGAGCCATGCTCCGCGAAAAGTACCGGTAGAATGGAGTCGACCTGGCCTTGGGCGAGTTCTTTCTTGAAGGAAAGAATGTCGTTCATAATGCATATGACGATGTTTGTGGCGTCCCAGATGGTAGTCATGTCTGGATCTGCCATGATCTCGCTTGGAAGTACTATTCTGCAAGCAAATTCCGATAGTGCCAGACATACGCGAACCGCTCCCGAGCCCATGCGACGCTGAAGATACTCCTGGGCTGTTGGCAAATGGCCTTCGACTTGGTTCTGCTGCTCGAGCTGGCACGACTCAACAAAGTAGACCAGCTCATTAAGGAATATTTGTGTTTTCTCTGCAGTAATATAATGAGTGATGACATGCAGTGTGTTTCCTTGACAAGTACTGACCTGGTGGGTATCCCTGCCGCACCGCTTCGCAGACACGCGTTATGTCTGTGATTATGGGGCTGTCTAAGGCGATGGGCTCACCATAATCCTGATTGAGACATGCCCGGATGTACCGGATTGTGTATTCTCGAAAGGTCGTTGCTTGGTCCATATCATTGATCAGATTCGAATATTCCGCGGAGTCGAGCTCTTTTAAGCATTAACACGCTTTGCAAACGAAAGACTGCATAATCGTAGGTCTCTTACCATCGTCCCAGGCAAAGAGCCATGTCGAGAGATGCGTGACCACGCAAAGATCTTCAAACGAAGCATATGGCCACCAAGATGAGCCAAACAATGCTGCATCTGCGAGCTTCATCTTCTGCAATCGTTTGCCTGGTGGAAACAATCTATGTCACTTAGCAGCCATACCAGACCAATTCTTGGGGGTAACTTACCTTTCGAACCTTTCATGCACTTCGTCCCTCAACAAGTTCTTATGCAAGTTGACACTCGCAGGCCAGTGCGCAATCATGGCTTTCAGATCTGGAATAGCAAGGGTCATTCCCTTGAGCGACTCCAAGAGGAGCTCTCGAGTTGCAGAAGATTCGTAAGCCATTGTTCAGTAAGTGTTGACAGTATTGAGAAACATGCAAATTGCCGCAAGACAAGCAGGAGAATCGGTGTAGTAAGTCATATCCAACAGTCGTGTGGGCGCAATTATGCATGAAGATCGCTGGTCTTGTCAGCCTTGCCAACCTTGAGTCTCGGGGTTGAATATGCATGTGAGAGGCAAAGTCGGAAACCGCTAATTCCGAAACGGGTCGTTTGTTGTGCACAGGCAAGACAAACGGGCGCTAGGCCAAATGGAGAGGTCGTCTCTCACCCTTTCACATTTGTCCGGGGCAGGTGGGGCCAAGCGCGAGTAGGGCCAAGCCAGGTGGCTTGTGATACTGTAAGGGCTCGCTAGAACATCACTGTCATCTTCACCGCTTCAGCCGTCCCACCAACGCGTTTCGAGTCAACCAAGGCTGACCGGTAGAAGGTGTAGCACGAAACACCCTTGTTATCTCCAGGAAAGGCGCCGCCGCAACCACGCAGAACACGCTCTATTGACAACCCCGCCTCTCTCAAAACTCTTCTAGCTGCACATATCTATTGGCGCCCTGTTTCAGCAGCGCCCCGGAAGAACACTTCAATCACTATGGGTAGCTCAACCTCAGACCCCAAGGACATCGCCATCGTCGTCGTACAAGGCTCATTCCATACGCCCCGAGCGTATCAGAAGCTGACCGACGGCTTGGAGCACCAAGGCTATGCGACTTTCCAACCTGAACTTCCAAGTTGCAGCAACACCGACGATGCTGACTTCCCCTCGAAGACGCTTCACGATGACTCTACGGTAGTCAAGAGCGTTGTCGAGCGACTTGTCAACGATGAGGGCAAAAAGGTATTCGTTGTCATGCACTCTTATGGTGGATTGGTAGGAAGCAATGCCATTCCGAAAGAATTGAGCTTCAAGTACAGAAAGTCTGCTGGGCTGTCGGGAGGGGTCATTCACTTGCTCTACATTGCGGCATTTGTACTTGATGAGCGCCAATCTGTACTCGGCACATTCGGTGAATCGCCTAACAACGATGTTAAGGTAAGCAAAACCCTATGGTTCATATCAAGTCACATTGCTGACGATGAGCTAGGACGATGGTCGCTTCTTCCTCAAAGGTGGAGCTTCTTTGCTCTACAACGATCTTTCCGATGACGAAGCGGCTGCTTGGGAATCACGTCTGATCCCCCAGTCACATGCGGTGCAGAAGTCAGAGATTGAGGTCACAGCATACAAGTATATTCCGTCGACATACATGATTTGCGAGAACGACAAGGCAGCACCTCCTCAATACCAGGAGATGTTCGCAGGAGCTGCTGGTGCGAAGATCATTAAGCTCGCTGCTGGCCATATGCCCATGTTAAGCCAGCCAGACGCACTCGTGGAGAAGGTTGTGGAGGCGGTCAAAGAAGCTGGTGCCGAGCTCGAGTAGTGTCGGAAGATGATCGCGGGGCACAATGTAGGAATCGAAGAATGCACTAACATGACTAAAGAAGCTGCTGCAACAAGCAGGCAGGGAATGGAATGTTTAGACTATAAAAGTTTCAAAATTACTCCCGCGTGTATGATGCTCTCACCACAAAATACGATGCATGAAGCTGTAATCGACAGAGTAGTCGCAATGCCCAAGAGCCATGAATCACCGAGATGAAGCACAAATCATGCAGGAGACCATATTCGTGGCTCGCGCAGATTCTCTTGAATATATAAGCTCCACCGCCCCTTCTGACTAGGCTAGTAGTCATACCACTTTAATCATGGCTGAATCCAAAAGCCACAAGAGCAGCAGCTACGTGATGACTCCAAGCAACACGGCTGTAAGTAGGAATCATAATCGATTCTTCTGTATATGATCGATAAGTTCTAATGATTTTGGTAGCAAGAGATCGCCCGTCTGGGTACTGCATCTTCCTACGGTGGTAAGACGATCCTAGAACTAAACATTTCGCAGACCTGCAACACCAGATTTGGCTGAAGACACTCAACGGCCAGCTTTTCACAGCTCCCGTCGATCTCAAAACTAAAACTACTGAAGGGGAAGCATTCGATGTACTCGACGTAGGATGCGGCAGCGGGAGTTGGGCAATTGACTTAGCTCTTCGATGTCCTCATCTACGCATCCTCGGTGTAGATATCACCCCACCAATCTTGCCAGATGACCCACAAACCAGCAATATAACTTTCCTCAAGGCAGATGTTGAGCAGGATTGGTGTTTTGCTGCAAACACAAAATTTCGCTACATACACGGCCGTATGCTTCAATCCGGCATTCACGACTGGCCAGCGCTGTTGCAAAAGTGCTGGGAATACCTAGCACCCGACGGATGGGTCGAGCTGATCGATGTTGAGCATCCTTTTCGATGCGACGCGGTCCCAAGCGAAGCCTCGGCAATGCCTCCATTCGTCAGATTTGGCTACGCTGCCGAAGAGGCCTGGAAGTCGAATGGGCTGGATTACCGCGCCACTTTGAAACATGAGGAGCGCTTCAGAGCTTTGGGATTCCAGAGCGTGTCTGATCGAACTGTGAGATGGCCACTGGGATCTTGGGAGCAGGCTGAGAATGAGGAGGGATTTGCTGGCGATATGATACTGGCAAATTTTTCGAAGTTCATTGCGGCAGCCGGTACAGCTATTTTGGGCAGCGGAAAAGCGGGGGAGGGATATGCCCCGATGAGTGCAGAAGCAGCGCGAGAACTGGTCGCTGAGATGACAACAGATTTGGAGGCGGATTGGATAACGTGGAAGTATTGGCTCTGCATGTAAGTCGCAACCGGACCCTCTTGACTTATAAAGATTCATGCAATTCTAACTCGATGCTCTTTGTTTTCTAGGAAGGTGTACATTGCTCAAAAGCCTACAGAGTAGTGGACGGTGTTTCTTCATAGTCTTGTCCACTTGGTCCCCCAGATCTCGCAATGCACAAATACGATGCACAGCGCACTAAACAACCTCTCTCACACTATGTGCCACATCTCTCTTACTATTGACACTTTGCCCATCCATATTCACCATTTCATCACCATCCATGTTATGGTGATATCCTGATATCTGAGTATCTGCATGATCAGTCTGTGACCGATTGGAGTGGAACGATAGCAGATTGCCAACTCTGGATCCAATCGATGTTATGACTTGTACGATATTCAGCAGCCTCTGTCCGAGACTATTCGCCAAGAACGGAAGACATGCTGATGATATTCCCAGACATGGCTCAATGTATGTCCAGACTGACGCGTTGAAGACTGATTTCGAGATGTCGGCAAGATCGATGGTTGCGGTCATGCAAGCGCGGACTAAGCTGGCTATGCATGCGCTATGGATTGTTAGCCTCGCCCTTCAAAGTAGAGCCAAGGCTTGTACTTACAGTGAACCAAGCAAGAATGCGCAAAGCACCAAAGCTTTCTGCTTAGATTCCATCTGTAGTTTCCACACTGGGATGATCGGGAGTAAGAGAATACTCCAGTCCAAAATATTGTTGGAAATCGAGTTTCCCCACAAGAACGGGATCAATTCGATGCAGTGCCCAGGTTTCAATGGTAGCCACGCCTTATCGACGGGATTGCACTGAAACACGACTGTCAAGAAGATTGCGATGCCCCAAGCAACGCAAAGACTACCGATAACCCAGATGGACTTCCTAACCCATGGGATGTGGCCGAAGATGCGCCGGAAGGAGATCAAGATTGAGACTTTGATCAAGGTAATCGTGATGGTGTAACCTAGTTCGGGCCAAAAGAACATCTGTTGCGCTGTGAGTCCTCTCTTCAGCCTCCAGAGGCGCCTCCGACTACCTTGAACAGCCATGTCATCTCGTCCATCGTCAGCTCTGCGAAAGGTTTACCCTCACCACCCTTTACGGCAACTGATCATGACTCGTTAGCTTCTTGCACATTTCAAGTGCTTGTTACTTACGCAGAATCGCGCCGACATCTTGGAGGTAGAGGAGGAACACTCCGACGATGAGAAGCCAGTCATCAGATCCTACAAAACCTTTCTTCGCTCTCATCCATACTCTGGCCAGGACGAACAGAGTCGCGATAACGCTCAGCACCACCGTGATGGTGATTGACTTTTGTCCATCCGAGGTTAGTGCCATGGCGACGAGATGGGTTCTTGCATACGCTCTCGAGGCTGAAGGAGCGGCGGGGCACCGCAATAAACCAATGCCCAAGGCACCAGACTACGGGCTGACAAGTTTTTGTCACGCTGCTGCAAGGTCATCTTAACCAGCCGAATCTAGTGGTTTGGCTAACGTTACACAGATGCGCTGTGCATACATAAGCCAGCCACACTCATCTGCTGATATGGAATGCAGGCTAGTAAAACGCTGACATGCAACCCATAAAGGGCCCATAGCGGTAGGCGCCGTCCGCTATGCACAGTCCGGGGCACTGTCATCTGGAAATATCTACGATTGGTGTCGCCAAGTCGATCCGTGTTGAGGGTCAATCAAATTGCATGATACCACACAGGTCGAAGGATGGCTAGCTGCCATAATTAGGCTAGGGTCGGGGAGTAAGCCGGGTCGAGAGTCTGAACAGGTCGGGAAATTGGTGCTACATCGCGCTGACAGTTACCGGCTGGCTGGATGTATCTTACGGCAAGAGCAGATAAACTCGTGCTAATGTCCGTCGTGCAGATCCAGCGCTACAAACAACATGATGAACTCCGCTCCCCTCTTCCTCTAGCGTTACTAAATCTAGCTTGCGCAGCTAAGAAAGTCATCACACTGCATGTACACAACTGTGTACAAGGCCCCATGGTGTCTTTGGAATGAAGAGATGGGGACCGAAACAGCCTTGCCCGCTGTCGCGGATCAACTGTCAAACTACCAGCCTCGTGATATTTGTCACCAATTGTAGAAGGTTCTCTTTGTTCGAGCACAAGTGGAATCCCTGCAACCGCTGCTGGAGTTTCTATACTGGTGAGACATCAGCCTTCGCATGTCTCGGTGGAGACATAGTCAGGGATGATCGGACCCTTATACAAGGCTCATTGAGCTTCTTGAGAAGCTCTGAGAGCTGTGGCGAAGCAACATTCTAAGTTCTTGGAGTTGTACCCAGACTGGTTGCGCACTTTTATGAGACGATTTCCAGATCGCATCCTTCGATAATCCCTTACTCGATCTACCGCCACTACCATGCATCCAATTCTTTACATTTATCTCGCCATCGCTTGCTATGTCGTCTACGGAATTGTGCTTGCATTGTATCGCCTGACGTTTCATCCACTCGCTCGCTTTCCTGGTTCAAAGCTTGCTGCTGCCACAAAATGGTACGAAGCGTACTTCGACTTGGTCAAGTCGCCAGGCGGGCAGTTCATGGTCGAAATTGATCGCATGCATGAAAAATACGGTAAAGATAACCCTGCTCATGGGCGCCTCAAGTTTACTCTAACACGTGAAGGCCCAATCGTGCGAATTAACCCCGATGAGCTCCATGTTAAAGATGCCGAGTGGGCTGAGACCCTTTACTGTAATTCGTCGCATGTACGTCACAAAGCTTGATCCAAATAATGCTCTCAGCTACTGACTCCAAGGCCAGGGTGCAAGAGACAAGTACCCTCCTGCAGCCATGATGACCGGCACGCCAAAAGGAGGTGCGTTTATCGTCTGAATGCCGTACTGAACCATTCACTAATCGTCATTGAAGTATTTGGCACCGTCAAACATGACGTTCATCGCAGGAGAAGGGCCGCCATCAACCATTTCTTCTCGAAGAATGCCATCAACAATGTTGAGCCCATGATCCAGGAGATGACGTCTCGCCTATGTCAAAACCTCTCGCAAGCTGCCGCTTCAGGCATTGAGCTTGAAATGCAAAGTCACTTTCTTGCCATCACCACTGATGTCGTCTGTCAACATACTTTCCAGAGAAATCTTGGCCTATTGCATAGTACCAAACACGCGCATAATTGGAAGGAGACAATAAGAGCGATTGCAATCTTGACGCCATTGGCCAAGCAATTCACATGGATCATACCGATGGCGCTAAAAGTGCCAGTGACCTTACTCAACGCGGTCGTTCCGAGTCTTGGAAGGATTGTCCAACTGCATCGTGTAAGTCGTCAGCGAGCACTCAAGTTCATATTCTTTGTATGACAGTGCAGTATCCGTCTTGATTGATAGAGCTAATATGTGCATCAGGATATGCATACGGAAGCCGGTGCAGCCATTCAAAATCACTCTTCTCCTGATATAACAAAGCTATCAAAGTCACAATGGGGAACTGATGCAGACGTCAAGGAGCAGCAAAGTACGATTTTTCAAAGTTGCCTGAAGAGTCGCCACTTGGATGCCGATGAAAAGAAGCTGGATCGTCTGGCTCAAGAAGCCTTCACAATCATCGTCGCTGGAGGCGAAACCACAGCTCGCGTACTAACGACGGCAACATTCTATATGGTCGAACACAAAGAGAGAGTCATCCTCAGACTGCGTGATGAGCTTCGTTCAATCTCGTCAGACTTCTCCAAAGAGCTGAGTTTGAAGGCGCTCGAGCAGCTTCCCTGGCTCGTGAGTCACGTCACATCGAAATGTAAAAGCACCACTAATCGTTGTAACAGTCTGCCATCATTAAAGAGTCCCTACGTATCACCGCCTTGGTCACATCTCGACTACCACTCATCTCACCCGACAGTCCCTTACACTACAGAGAGTGGATAATCCCCGCCGGAACGCCAGTCAGCATGAGTCTAAGAGACGTACTTCTTGACGACAGCATCTTCAAGAACCCACATGAATTTCACCCCGAGCGATGGCTCGCTGAGAACCCAAGCCTAGCGCGCATAAGCAAGTTATATATGCCCTTCGGCAGAGGGAGCCGTATGTGTGTTGGTCTGAACCTCGCGCTGGCTGAGCTGTACCTGATACTAGGAACTCTCTTTGACAAGTTCGAGTTCGACCTATTTGAGACAACAAAGGAGCGTGACATTGATATCGTGAGGGACTGCTTCATCGGAGAGCCGTCTACACAGAGTCAAGGAGTGCGTGTAAAAGTCAGACTAAATTAGGAGCGCATCATGGTTCAGCGATCAGCGTTTCACCACGTCGACATGTTAATATGCTTTTGCTCCAGAGTTGGTTTCTGTATGAGCTGGCTTTCTTTCGTTTAGAGATATCCACATAGAATGGTTTTCTGAGCCTTACCTTTAGATAGCCGCAATACCACCAGGCTGTTTCTGAACCAAACTGAACATTGGATTATGTCAGTGAAGCCCGCGTTCGATCTCGTGCACATGGCACCGGGACATGTCTTTGGCCCAAATGAGCTTGTTACTGACTCGAGGGAACTTTTACAGACGGGAACAAATCGAATAATTCGTGTGATGGAAATCCAAACTGAGACTTCCAACCCTTCAGCAGCACTGCCATCAGCTGCTATTGTATCCTATGACGAGTTCTATCATTCCATTGGAAACTTTCACATACCCAACCCAACAAGGATATAAAATGACCATGATGCTGTCCCCAAGAGGCCAACAGATTTCAGCTGCAACCAGTGCAAGACATCCAAGTCTAAGCACTCAAAACCATTGTCCAAGGCTCCTCAAAGGGATATAAAGCGTTTGAACACATGCTGTCATGGGTATTTCCCTCTTACATGTATCGGCCAGCCCTTGGGCGTACTCTGGGACTGGGCCAGAGGCTCACAGGCCACCTGTATATATTCCCCACGAACCTTGAGGCTCAGCCATCAAGGATTTGTCTAATATGATTCCATTTGGCCTCACACGGCACCAATCCATCCTGTGTCCGATTGCTTGCCTATAGTGACCTCACAGACCATATGGAAGCGAGAAGTGATACATTGAATTCTGGATTTTAATTTCTGAAAAAAAGAAAATTCTTATAGAAGTGGTTCTTCGCATCGGTGGTTCCACTAAACCACCGATGCGCTGCCATATATAGGGAGCTTTTCAATGTTCTGTCTAATTTTTTGTTTATCGCTTTTCAGTTCTGCAATTCACAGTTCAGTTTTTGGTGCGCTTCCTGTGCAGAACTTGGCGTGGTCAAAATGAGTATCAGAAACGAATCTCGGAAAACAATAAGCAAATTACAGCAAAACTCAGCCTGCGGTCCCTATGCATTGTGTTGTACGACGGCTACAGCAAGTGGCGGATGGGGCGATGTGCTCACCCACGAGGTTGATGGGTGTACATGGTCGGCATGTCGTCATATGTTGCAGGTTCAGCTAGAGTCTTGTATGTTCCTCTTCGTTCAAGCCTTCAACGGCATCCAACGACAACATGGATCACCTCGATGATATTGCAGCTTTGGCCCAAGACGCAGCATTGCTTGTGTCAATTGAGTAAGCTGCTGAGGCTTATGAAAGAGAAGGTGTCAAGCAATTTGTTGAAGTCGCACGTTAAGTGGAGCTCGGCGTACAGTTCGATTGGTTCTCGGGGATGAGTAGTATTACAGAGAGCCTTCAGGGGTTGGTTATTACTTAAGCGAAGCTCGTAATGATGTAGGGTAGTCGTCTAGTCAAAGACCGTGGCGACTGGTAGCAACGAGTAGTACAGAGTAGACTATCTGGCTCGGAAGCTGGGGATTGAGATTCTGTCACGGTTTGGGGTGCTCCTGCCTGTTGTACCTCACCCCCATGAGAGTGACTGCCACGTCACACTAGCATTGTTTACAGCTACTCACCTATACATACTGTTCGTAGCTTCACCCAATACAACCCCAGTACAATCTTCAAATTCTTCCCTTTGCGTACAGTTCTTCACTGAACTCTGACAGATTCTGATAACAAGGTTGATTGACGAGGTTGAACACGATGCCATAAGGACAGTGTTCCTACATAGCTATATACAAAGTACGGTTCGGAAGTGATCTGTTGCGCTCCGTACGCTCTTGCAGATCCGCAAGAGCATTGAGAGCGTATATGCAAGGCACTCTGTATGCTCTGTAGTGGTACGTCGGATCGTGAGATCAGTGAGAGCATATATGCAGAGCGTCGGCTGGCCTCGTTGTGACTTTCCGTTTAACCGAGGTTTGCCAATGCTCTGTTGTTGCCCGCGTTAGCGTGAGAGCGATCCTGGTTCAGTGCTACCGAGTGTACCACTGGTCGTAACACAATTACTGGAAACCATGGAGAAGGTACAAGTCTCTTACATGGGGTACGCAACTGATGCTGATCTTACTAGATTCGCTGTCAATCTGCCATTTGCTTACAGGGAGTCTGAAATGGCTGCACCGTAGCAATCGGAGGTGAAGCTGCATTGGGTGAAAGCATTCATGGCAAAAAGCTCCTGAAGGAATTTCAACTACAACGCGCATTGCATCTGGCCAACAATACTGTTTGGGGGCAATTGAGGTATTGCTGTCATCAAGAAGGTAACGCTCAGAAATGTTGGCGTCGTTGCAGCTGACAGAACTGAACATTCCTTATAGTTCATCCATGACCTTGCAAAGACCAGGGGTGCTTCTACCGCAATGAAACCCAAATCTGTGACCTACGCTCCCTCATAAGTATCTTCACCATGACTGACCAATCGATTTTCAAGTTGTTGAATCGCTTGACAAGGTCCTTCTCCGTACGAGCCGACACCGATACAGTGACACTCGTGTCGTCACATCTCACCTCCCTGTTCTAGGCCAACTTCTTGCGTAGTAGCATCTCAAGCTTCGGCAAAAGGACATTATGCCAATACGAGAAAGGGGTTAAAACAACATCTTCCCGGTGTCCTCAGAGATACTCTTGTTGTTCACCACCACCTTCCACACAATTATGTAATGGAGACAACTGGGCACGTCTTCTTCGGAGCTGTTCATCGCATTCCATTCATCCAACTCAAGGAATCGATGCTTGTCTGGGTGAGACAGTGGCTGTGAAAAGGCGGGAGGTTTCTGGCAGGAAGCGCTTGCGGGAGTCGGTGCAAAACTCGCTGGAGCAGAGGAATAGTCTATCATGGCCGCATCTACTGATTGTTCGTCAACAAAAGGATCCCAGCAGTCTTGGACTCCGTATGGGCCATCATCATATGTAACTACGTGGCTGAAGTCACATGATATCCTATTGTAGAAGGCACTGCCCAGTGGGCAAGTGCACTTACCTCTGAGCGGAGAGCTCCTGTACATCGACACCACCGAACAACAACAGATAGCAATACAATCATTGACCACAGCCTCCAACCGACACTGCTCACACAGTAACATCATAGCAAGGAAGAGCACCACTGGTCGTCATCACTGAAGGGGTTACTTGGAAAGCGCCAACTGGCATCGTGATGTCGTTCGCTTCAAAGTTGTGTGCGTATGCTCCTGTCCAGCAGCGGATGCGTTAAAATCAATCAAAGACAAGCGAAAGGCATCAATGAGCCATTTCGACATGCTTGAGCCTCCCATCATAGAGCATGTCTTGAACCATAACATGCTGCGACACAGCGAGATTCGGGGCCATTGCTGGAAAGCTGCAGGCGATGTTCGTCGTGGCTCGATCATCCTGCGGCCGTTCGCGGGCGCCCGCTTCTCGCGGAGTTGTGGCCTTGGCATTCTAGAATGTCAAAACGATACAGCAGTGATGTGTTGTTGAAATCCTGAATACTGAATTCAGGATTCGAGAAAGTCGACATGAGTTCAACTTGGATGCATACTGTAGCTGCATCATCGCCAAGCCTGTTTGATGAACGCCCTCTAGTCCCGACATCGGGACTAGGATTTCCTACTCGAACCGAAGAGCCTAATGAAGTCCTCGCTCTCTTGCGAGTTCGGCACTCGTCCCAGTGCGCCACACCACACTTTATATTCTTTGTAGATTCGATCCGCACAGGAAGCCATATCTTCTATCCACAGTTGTTCTTTGTTATCGTCTGAAATCTGCCGCGCTACCATGAGCGTAGTCCAAAGAGGTTTACATTGCTTCCAAGACGGGAGGACCGAGAACTGGTTCCGCCAGTGGCTATACAGCTGCTTTAAGGGATTGTCTGGGAACGGGCTGTGACCTAGAAGCTTTGAAAGGATCATATCCGGGTCAATGAAGAAGACTGATTCCTTTACCACTTTCACAGCCTGTAGCGGCACTCCTTGCATTATGCGTTCGGTTGAGTCACTAAGTCCATTGGTCCGTCCAGGATCCGGGCGTCCGTCCACATCTACTGCACCGAACAGCACATTGTGGTGGAGCCCAGGCAAGTTGTTGACATGTTCTTTTGGCTCTAGGCACTGAAATAGCATGCTTGCCCCCCTTCGAACACGCAAACTCTGTGCTTGGACTGTGATGACCTCTGGATCCTTGGTGTCGTCCCAATCCTCTGATTGTGGGTGCGCCAGCCCGAGCGGTACATCTACAAGGAACCCACCGCCATCACCGGTACCTCGACCGTAATATATGTTGTCAGGGTAATCGCAGATGGCCTCCATAGCCCATGAGATCCATGCCACGACTATATATCGCTTCTTCGACTCCTCTACTGTGGCCCAGGGGATACAATGAGAGCACCCTTGACGGTCGGTAGCGGACGACCGAGTTCTCTCAGGACATGGGCTTCGCAGTTCCCAGCCCATCCACCCAGGTGGTCCGCGATCCTTTGGGAATATAGGGCAGTCTCCTGGCGCTCGTAGTTTACTCAGTGGGAAAGTCTCACAATTCTTGTACAATCTGCAGACGGCTTTCTCCAGACATTTCCCTACTTCTCGAAGATTGGGTGCGGCGTCGTCTTCTGTGCCACCTTGGTCGTTGATGAATGTCAGAACCGCGTGGTAGACGAAATTGTATGGGACGTAGTGACGATACGAGATCGCCGGCGCTTCGGGATAACAATTATCGGTTCTGGAGTCAGTCTTCAAGTAAGCGACCTGGCATAGTGCTCGCTGAGGGATAGCTTCGCAACGTACTTTGGGTGACCATCACATTGCCGAACAGCTGTTTTTATACTCTCCCATTCGTAGGATACGCGGCGATCTGGATCAACGAAGCTTAACCTTTGCGACATGTAAGTTTCCCATTCCCTCGGACCGAGTGCGGTCGCATCTTCCCGTGTCACAAGACGCATGTTCTTGCTGTCGAATGTAGAAATGGCCCTGAATTATATCGTTACTTGAGACTGAGATGGTAAGACACCGAGAGCTCGTAGCAAGGACCACAAAGGGATCAACGCAAGGATATTGTGAGACAGGTTGTTACGAACCAGAATGACCAGTGTCGTGGCCAACCCCAGGCCACAGGAGATCAAAATCGGACTATGGCAAGCAAGGCTCGTGCGGGGTCAGATCACGTGATTAGATAAAGTGGATGAGTGTCAGGGTCGGTTATGTAGTGGGCTAGACCCATGTGGATCCACCTTGTGGGCTAAGCTTGGAGCAGCGCAGTCATGCTTTTCCACCAGTATAAATATCGACTATGCAAGATGAATCCTGTTGATTCAACTTGCGCATGCCTTTTGGCATAGGTTGGTGCATATAGTCGTGCATGTTGTCTTTTGGACTCCACCCTTTACACTTGAACGGGCAAGAATACAAGGTACCCCACATGTCATCGGGAGGTTGACGAGCATGGCGTTGTGGGAGGTGTAGAGAAATGGAGGGAGGCGAATACAGAGGAGCATTGGTCTGATTATCAGTTGCCGATGAGTTGGTAATTTGGGGCATGATTCAAGTGTTGCTGTAGGCCTCAATCTTATCTTGTTCTCGGTGAAGATCGAGTGTGGTGCCGTTGGAAGTTTCCCACTTCTTACCAGATAAGTCTCACGATGTATCACTAATTCTGAACATGGAAGCTGCCATGATAACAGATGGAACAGCTATAATCAGTATTCCCAATCCAGAACCACCCTGGACATCGTCTTTCAGCGCTGCCCAGAGAATGCAAAGGACGGTACTCAAAATGACTGTTATCATCACGATACAAAACAAGACACCGCGATGTGGTCCTTCTCGAATATAGATTCCCCAGGCGTATGTCGGCATATCGCAATCGATGACTCGTTTGCCTGTTCTTTTAGGCAGTCGTGGTGTCCAAATGTATCTTGCTACGTCCTTAGAGATATCTCTGTGCTCCAAGTAACGAAGGAATATTTCGGGCGGCACTGGTGGAAGTGGGGCCATTGGGTGAGGAGAAAAGTCATATGAGGGTTCGTCTATGGGGGGCACGCATCTGGGTCGATCACAGATTGAGATGTAACCTTGATGGATGCTCCAGACGATGGACTGATTCATGTCAATCTCCTACCTTCAGAAGCTCACAGCTGGATTTTAGGGGGCCCTGGGACAATTCGGCATACCTGAATGAATTCAACGCTGACTGGTTTGAGAAACATTGCCAGATGCAGTCTTAATTTCCTTACGCTTTGGTATACATTTTTCAGTTCTGAAAAGAGCTCAGCATCTGATCTGACTGTCGAAACATCGATCTCGGTCAAGCGTTTGTAGATCCCACCGCTCGAGATGCATACGGCTAGATGTCGCGAGTAAATACCGTTCTCTACCCCATTACCATTTGATAATGGCATGTCGGTAACAACGGCTCCCTCGTCATTGATCGATGATTCCCGTTCCGTGTCAGCGGCTACAGAGCTTTGATTTTGAACATCTCCATTGATGCAACCTGAAGTCAAGACGTTCGTTCCGTCTAATGCACCGCCCGAACCAGAAGAATGGGTGGCCTGTCGAAGGCTGGCTTCCAGCGCATCTGAACCCACAGAATTATCATTCTCAAAATTTGCATAGAGATCTTCGCCACATTCCTGGCAATTATCAGTGCTATTTAGGTACGGATATCAAGGAAAGACATCTACTCACACATGTCCACTCTATACGTCGATATCCTGGCTGTGATGATGGTCTCATAGTCTTACGTAACCAATTAGTTGTTCTGCGCCGGGTTCGTCGAGTATCAAACAATTTGGGACTTAGCCATTGCCGACGCCTTTGATTGGGTTGGTCTTGATCTTGTTCAACCTGTGCTTGAATCAAGCAATTGTGAGGAGAATTTGTCATGGCAACTCCAAAGTCTAGTAGACCTTCGCCAAAATCTGCGAGAGCCTCACTGTTGCGAAGAAACAACGTTGTCCTCTCAAGACCGATGTCTAGACGGCTGAATTTCAGCGCAGTGTGTTCCAATTCGCCATGATCTAGCTGGCGCGTCTTCGAAGGCACGCCAGTTCTTCCTGATGAACGCTTTCAGCTCCGCAAAGAGCTCTTCGATTGGGTTCAGGTCAGGTGAGTAGGGTGGCAAGTACATCAGCTTGACGCCGGCATCGCAGCACATCTGCTCGAGCCGCTCCGTGTGGTGGAACGATGCGTTGTCCATCACAAGCACAGACTTTGGCTCTGGCCACCTACCGCAATGGGGGAGCAGCTGCTCTAGGTAGTCCTCGAACACGTCGCCGTCTGTCGAGCCCTGGTACACTCGTGAAAGCAGGACACCGTCCTGAGTGTAGGCGAGCAGGATCTGATATCGCCGGTCGCGATGGAACTTGGCAACCTGCACTGGTGCTACGCCGTGGGGCGACCAGCCCGTTCGTCTGAAGCCGACGCGCTTGTCGCAGCCAGATTCATCGATGAAGACGAGGTAGTACGACTGGAACTGTGTCGGGTTGTAGAGGTAAAAGTCTCGCAGGTCCGCGTTCTGTTCTTTGGCAATCTGTCGTGCAGCTTTTTTCGACCAACCTATGTCTTTCAGCGTTCTGCTGATGCTGGAAGTCGAAACATGAATTTCGAACTCATCCTACAGGAAGACGGCCATCTCCTCCAGGTACAGCCCAGGCTTCTCGAGCAGATGGTCACATAGAGCTTCTAGCATAGTCGATGTGATGGTTCGGCGCCTCCCACCTCCGTTCGCAGGAGCCTTGGTAGAGTTGAAGTAACCAAAGTTGGACCGTATTGCTTTGATTGAACGCTCGCTGCAGCCAGCCACCGTTGCCATCTGAGCGGTGGAAAGCGACCCAGCAAGAATCATGTCCCGGATCAGGTCGTGCTGCGAGGCAGCCAGGTTCGGAGCCATGTTTATGATTGTAGGTCTTGAACGATCTGACGTCCGATCTTGATCAAATCGCGGCTGTGCACTACTATACCGTAAAGCTGCTGCCGCTGCCGGAGCATATCGCCGAAGGCGGTAGAAGCGTGACCTCATGAGGCGTATCCGAGGCCCGCTCGCTGACTGGCGACCCTGGTTGGACCCCCAAGCTCCCGCGCGAGGTCGAGCTCTGCATCGATCCAATGGGGCGACGCCAGAGCGGCCCCCAAAAGCTCCCGCAATCGAGCCTGCAACCCCAAGCGTCCAGTGAGCGCCAGCTTACAGCCTGTCCGACTAGTCCCGTGGCGATGTACGACACCTGCACTGGGCGACAAACATTCACTTTTGCTTTGCGCTTTCTGACTTTCTACCTTCATACGCTTGCATCTCGATCAGTTGAATTGAACCAACGTTCATCGCTCGGAGAGAAGATGCAATCGCGACAATGCGTCTTCTGAAGCGCTTGCCGAGCGGCGGCTTCGAGCTAGTGTCATTCAGCGACGACGACCCCCCTCCGTATGCTATCCTTTCGCACACCTGGTCTGAGGGCCAAGAAGTCACGTACAGTGAGCTTGTAGCGGCCACAGGCACAGAGAAGACTGGCTACGACAAGATCCGCTTCTGCGGCGAACGAGCTGCAGCGGACGGCCTCGAGTACTTCTGGGTTGACACCTGCTGCATCGACAAGTCTATCAGCCATGAGCTCAGTACAGCAATCAACTCCATGTTCCGCTGGTACCAGCGTGCATCTAAGTGCTACGTATATCTGTCGGATGTGTTTGTGCCGGATGAGATCACCGACGCTGGAGCCTTCCTTATAGCGTGGCAGGAAGTTTTTCGACAGAGCCGATGGTTCACGCGAGGCTGGACGTTGCAAGAGCTTCTGGCGCCGGCTAGCGTTGAGTTCTTCTCCAAGCAGGGTAAGCGGTTGGGTAGTAGGATGTCTTTGGAGCAGGACATCTATGAGATCACTAAGATACCTTTCACGGCTCTAAGAGGACAAAGCCTCAGCGAGTTCAGTGTTGAGGATCGAATGAGCTGGGCGGCCAGGCGCACGACGACATTGAAGGAAGACAAGGTGTATTGTCTGCTGGGAATCTTTGGTGTGTTCTTGTCGCTCATATATGGAGAAGGAGAAGAATACGCCACGCTACGTCTGAGGGAAGAGATCCAGAAGCGGCAGGAGGGGCGCGGAACTGCCAGTTGCCGTAGTTTATCCGGTACGTCCTACCTCAGCCACGTAGCACACTTCTGTACAAGTTGTACACAGCTAACAGTATCTAGTCCTCTCGTCGCTGCCTTTTCCAAGAAACGAGCTCTTTGTTGGACGAGCAGACGAGCTCCAGTCTCTCGAACAGCACCTCCTCGTCTCCAACTCTCACCGACGGATGACAATATATGGACTGGGAGGATGCGGAAAGTCAGCGCTTGCCATTGAGTTTGCTTATCGCGCACTGGCAACACATGCTAGACTGGTTTTCTGGATACCTGCGATCAGCCAGGAGAGCTTTGAGCTTGCCTACAGGGACATCGGGATCCGCCTCCGTGTACCAGGGATTACTGATGACAATGCAGATGTCAGGAAGCTTGTTCGGGAGACGCTGAGCTCAAAGATCATGGACAACTGGCTGATGATCGTTGATAATGCTGACGATCATGAAGTGTTACTGGCTACTGCGGATAGCGACTCAAAGCCAGCTCGACTAAGCGACCACCTCCCGCGCAGCGATAGAGGCGCGATTCTTTTCACAACACGAAGTAGGAAGGTAGCCGGAGCTCTGACGCAGAGCAGCGTCTTGGAGCTGAGCGATATGAGCAAAACTGAAGCCAGGCAGCTGCTAACGCGGCGAACAACAAAGCAAGCTTTACTTGATGATGAGACGGCTATTAATGAACTGCTAGAGACACTCGCATGTCTACCACTTGCTATTGTTCAGGCAGCTGCCTTCATAAACAACAACGACGTGTCAGTCTCTGGCTACATATCGCTGCTTCAACATACCGGTGCAGCGACCGAGCTCTTCAGCGAGCGCTTTGTAGATCCGAGTAGATACGAAGAACTTGACAGCACGATCGCGAAGACGTGGCACATCTCCTTCGACCAGATACAAAAGCAAGATCAGTTTGCTGCAGAGTACCTTTCGTTCATGGCGTGCATCGACCGCGTCAATATTCCCCAGTCGCTACTGCCTCCTGGAGCCTCTCTGGTGCAGCAAACGAAAGCGCTAGGAACACTGACAGGGTATGCATTCATCACAGAGCGCCTACACACGGTACAAGAGTCAGGCGGAGGCAGATCCTTCGATATGCACCGACTGGTGCACATGGCGTCTGTCTGGTGGCTAGACAGACACGATGAGCGTGCAACCTGGGTGGATACAGCGGTGGCGCGGCTTGAAGAGCTAGTGCCGTACGGCGGGCATGAAAACAAGGAGGTTTGGACGATGTACCTGTCGCACGCAGTCCATGTGGCTGGAATCCACGGTATAGTGGGCAAAGCAGCCAGCGCTTCGCTTTTAGATCGCGTAGGGCAGTGTCAAGCAAGCCTTGGGCAATATTCGGCAGCAGGAATAATGCACCAACAAGTGCTATCAGTGAGAAAGAAAGTGCTTGGGCCTGAGCATCCAGATACGCTGACGAGCATGAGCAACCTAGCGCTAGCACTCAGCAATCAGGGAAAGTACGCTGAGGCAGAGGAGATGGATAGCGAGACGCTAAGGCTGAGCAAGAAGGTGTCGGGAGACGAGCACCCACACACGCTGGCAAGCATGAACAACGTAGCGGCAGCACTCAGCGGTCAGGGAAAGTATGCTGAGGCAGAGGAGATGGATCGCGAGACGCTAAGGCTGAGAAAGAAGGTGTTGGGAGACGAGCACCCAGACACGCTGACAAGCATGAGCAACCTAGCGCTAGCACTCAGCAATCAGGGAAAGTACGCTGAGGCAGAGGAGATGGGTAGCGAGACGCTAAGGCTGAGCAAGAAGGTGTCGGGAGACGAGCACCCGCACACGCTGGCAAGCATGAACAACGTAGCGGCAGCACTCAGCGGTCAGGGAAAGTACGTTGAAGCAGAAGAGATGCATCGCGAGACGCTAAGGCTGAGCAAGAAGGTGTTGGGAGACGAGCACCCA